AAACGACGAGGACGTCCAGCACAATTTTCAGTCCACGGACAACAACAGTTGCTTTAGTCATTTTTCATCAAAACTTGGTAAATTTTCTGATTTTTTTTAAAAACCTTGTTGTTGTTGTTCTTTTTTTGACGGGTGCAGTTCCGAGGCCTTGCCTCTCGACACCCAGCGCCCACTAAATTGCCGCCTTCGAGAGTCGCTTCGAGAGTCGCTTCGAGAGTCGCTTCCAGACTTCGAGAGTCGCTTCGAGAGTCGCTTCGAGAGTCGCTTCGAGAGTCGCTTCGAGAGTCGCTTCGAGAGTCGCTTCCAGACTTCGAGAGTGGGCGGGGCGGGGCGGTGGCCTGCAGTCCAGGGCGTCGTCTACGTGCATACGGCCGCGCCAGGGTCGGCGTGCAGTTTAGCCATCGCCGCACGCAGCCTCCACCATCAAGAGCATCACGACTGCCATCTAGTCGACTGCAGCGGCGCCCCCGCCCCGCCCCGCCCCGCCTCGCCCTGGCAATGGCCGTCGCCGTCACGGCCCCCGAAGCCCCAAAGGGGGTCCTGGCCTGGCGGGCAGCCTCATCAGGGTGACATATGGGCCCGCCACGCGGCGCATAAGCCCCACGCCACCACGCCCCGCCCCGCCGCGCCCCGCCGCGCCCCGCCCCGCCGAGTGCTCCGGGCGGGGTGCGGACCAGCGAGGCTGTGATACACTTAAGTGTCACTTCCACGCCGTGTTTTCTTCCCTGTTTCCCATTTTTCCCTCCTCTTCCTCCTCTTCTTCTGTGTACATATTTTTTTTCGGTGTCGCCTGTTCCTTGCGTCCGAGGAGAAACACACACACACACACACACACACACACACACACACACACACAAACACGCGCGCGCAGACGGGCCGACCTGGGCGGGCAGACAGGTAGACAGGCCGGCGGCGCGGCACCAGTCCGCAGACCACTACAGTCGGCGAGCCCCAGGAATTAGAGATATGGCCGGTGGATTAGACTGGCGGGGCGGGGCGGGTTCACAGTGCGGGGGCGCTTCGGGGAGGGGCGGTTATCCGCTCCATCGGGGCATCCGCATACGCGTCGCCCGGAGGCAGCCAGCCGGGGCGGCCGGCCTGTCAATGCCACACATGGGGCGTGACGTGACGGGGTGGGGTGGGGTGGGGGGGGGGTGGGGTGGGGCGGGGTGGGGTGGGGTGGGGCGGGGCACGGTACAGTGGAGCGAATCGAAGCGTGTTCAAGGACACGCACGCGGGGGCAAAGGCAAAATCGCGGCCGCCGAAAGACGCGAGCACACTGGCACGCCCAAGGTCGTCTTGGCGACCGCCAGCACCGCCACCGGGACCAGCACGTCGTCCTCCGGGGCACCAGGGCGGCCGCCTGACCCAGTGCGACACGCCCCGGACACGCCGGCGCCGCGGCGACTTATTCAAAAAGCCATTCACTTTCCGACGCCCTTTCCTGGCACCGTTTTATGGAAAACAATATTTGCATGGCAAGTCATGCAAAGTGCGAGGAGGACGCCAAGGAAAAGGGGGGGGGGGCATGAGCAGCGGAGCAGCAGCAGGTAGTTGGGAGACTAGTGTTGCGAGCAGGCAGCAGGAGGCGGATAGGCGAGAGAGACAGAGAGGAGGGGGAGGGGGTGCTGGGGCGCCACCACCACGACCCGGTCCCAAACAGGACAAACGCATCTCTCACGCGTTCCACCCACATGCCACCCCCTCCCCCCTCCCCCCACCCCACCGCCACGACACATCCCGACCGCCACACACGCGTCCCGTCCCAACAGCATCCACGCATTTTCGCCAACCTCAACTTACCCCCTCCCCCGCGCCCCGCCTCGCACACAGTGTACTACACAGCACGACATGCATGCGCGCGCGGCCTCGCACGCACACACGCACCGAGCCTCACTCCCAGCGCGATGACAAACGTGCAGAAAGCCCCCGAATACCTCAGCCCTTTATAATGAGCACCGCGAACGGGAGGGAAGTTTACACCGACAAAATGTGACGGAACGAAAAGAAAATCAACAACAACTAAAACGAAGAATCATCTCATCATCCTCATCTCTTCGGCGAAAATAGCTCGTGTCCATTAGCCTGGCCGGCCGAGCCTTCGCGGCTCCAGGCCGACCCCGAGCTCCGCTTCTCTTTCCCTTCCCATCCAGTGTGGGGGAGCGAGAGAGAAGACAGACAGAGCGACGACAGCGGTGCCGGCGTCCGGGTTCGGCCTGCCGGGTTCGGCCTGCCGGGCTCCGCCTAGTCCGCCACATCTGCGCCATTAGGTTTGCCCTAGTTTTCGTTATGACGGGCCGGTCGGGGCAGTCGGGGCAGGGTCGACACCCGCGGCTCAGGTTCCACATACGCAAACGCGCAGACACACACACAGACACACACACACACACACACACGGAGGCGTAAACCCAGTGGGCTAAACAAGGGGACAGTGCGCGCATACATCATCCGCGTGCCTCATGGGCGCCCTGGGCGGCCCTCGGCCTAGAGGGGACGTACCCTAGCGACTCCCGTCAGTGGGGTGGAAAGGGGGGGGGGGGAATCCCGCAAGCTAAGCGCGCAGCGTAAACAAAAGCAAACTCGATTTCTCTTTTTTTCTCTCCGGCCGTGTGTGACGCGGGTCGGGTATTCGAACCCGGGTCCGCCGGCGTGGCGGCGCGTGGCGGCGCGACGCGCAGTGCACCGACTCCAGCCTGGCGTAAAGACCACACGGAAAGTTGCGCACATTCCGCCTGGCCGATCCAAAGCTGTTGTTCCCGAAACTACGCGCGCGCACACACCCAGTGTGCGAGAGAGACGGAGCGACGGAGGCACAGTGCGAAATCAGTGCTTTGCCGGTGAAAAGAAGCAGTCGCTCCTTGAAAGAGCCATCTCTGTCCTCTCTCTCCGTCGCGGCCGCGAGACAGTTGGCCGGACAACTATAGTTTCGTTTTGCAACTCGATTTTATTTTTCTTTCAAGTGGAGCATCCTCTCCCTTTCCTCTTTCTCCGCGGCCACTCGGCCGTGACGCATTGTTCCTTTCAGCGACCAATCTGCGGACCGATTTGGCGGTATGAAAGGCCCGGGCACGAGTCGGCACAAACCTTGAGGGGGATGAAGGCTCGCCTCGACCTCCACCGTGTTCATGTCGAACTGACACCGCACAGCGGGCCAGAAGACCGGTGGAGGCGGCCAAAACTCTAGACGCGTTTTGAGCTCCAGAGTCGCTAAATGGGCCTCGAACCGAACGTGTGACCCCACCAATGGATTGCTCCCCCAACGAGGAATCCATTGGTGGGGTCACACGTTCGTTTCGAGGCCTGTTTAGTGACTCTGGAGCTCAAAACGCGTCTAGAGTTTTGGCCGCCTCCACCGGTCTTCTGGCCCACTGTGCACCGGTAACTCTGCAACTCCGCTTAACCACCTGACGGTACGGCGGTACACTGGTACACACCCATCCGATGGGTGCGAGAGAGACGCGCGGCGCTCGGCCCGTCCAGAGTGACGGGAGGGACGGAGAGGCGGCGAGTGTCCGACTTTGTTGCAGTCTTCCGGTTCGATGGCTTCGCGGTCGTCACGTAGCACGTAGAGGTGCCGCTCCGTTCGGACCCCGCAGTCACGGCGCAACGCAGCGTTCGCGGAATAAACTGAAACTTGGAGCGGCGCGCCCCGCCCCCGCCCCGCGCTGACATGGGCTCATTATTCATGGCATGAACGGCGCGAGATTGGATTGAGGGGGGCGGGGTGCAAAGGGTCAGGCAGTGCGCTCCGCATGGCTCCGCAGCACGGGTCCCGGGTTCAAATACTGACTGCGATTCCATTCTCCTTTCATTTTCTTCCCTACCCGAAAAAGGGCCAACATTGATTTTATGTTTACGGGTCTAATTTTTTTTTTTTGTTAGAATATTTAACATTTGATAAATCACACACAATATTGCAAGGATATGCACTTGCTTTTTGGACTCGAGAATAAAAGCTGGCTGCCACATCAATATGTCTCATACTTTTCTATGGATGGACCACTGGGTGCACAGCACCTGGGTAGCGACAAAGGTGCCCTGTTCCTATGCGCTTTGGCCAACCGTAAACTGGTCACTGTGGCTGCGCAGAAAGTGGGCGTCTAAAATGGTCTCCAGAAACTGGACATCTTCTAAAAATTCCGTACTACTTTATGCACACTGAAAGGCAAAGAAAAGATTCACCGCTCAACTCAAGTGTTGACGTTTGTAGCCCTCTGACCAGATACAGATTTAAAACTCACCATACATGCATTCTGCATCCTCTCCAAATTCTTGACCAGAAATCTTTTTTCTCAATAGGTTTCTCTCTTCAGCTCAGCTCAAACACAACATTAGAACACTCTAATGCAGACTCATGTAGGGACTGTTAATATAGGTTAGTCGGCAGCAATCTTCCTCGGCATAACTGAAAAGGTCGGACATTTCAACATGTCAACACACACAAAGCACGCCCACTCCCCTGCCGGTGAGAGATTCTTTCTTTTAAGCAAGAAAATAACTTGAGCACTTGTAAAACCGTTGTAAAACAAAATAAGAAACGACCGTTGCCGTTTACAAACAGCGACCGTATTCAAACAACAACAACAGCCGGGACCGGACCGAGAGACAGGAGTGCCAACATACGAAAACGAAATCCCGTACTACTTCTCCCTCCCAAAACCGTCTTTCGGAGATTTTCGTTTTCATATGTTACCCCTCCCGTCTCCCTCTCCCGCACTGTTGTTGCTGTTGTTTATTCTCGTTGTTATGGTAATTTATTATTATGTTTTACGACGGTTTCACATTTCCTCAAGATATTTTCTTCTTAAAAGGAAATAATAAATGTCATCGGCAGCGGGGATTGGACGTGATTTATGTGTTGGCAAGTTGAAATGTCTCAACATTGAAGGTACGTCTAGAAGGAGGTTGCCGACTAACCTATATTTTAACAGGCCCCATATGCCTCTGCGTTTGAGTGTTCTAATGTTGTGCTTTTTTTTTCTTTTTGTTTGAGCCTGACACTATAAAGCAGGCTGAAGAGAGAAACCCATTGAGAAACAAAAGTACTTGTCAAAAATTTGGAGAGGATACATGGTGAGTTTTTAATCAATATCTGCTCGGAGAGTCTCAAACTACGTACAACACTGGAGTTGAGCGGTGAACCTTTTCTGTGCTTTTCAGTGTGCACCAAGTAGTCTGCACATTTTTGAGAAAACGCCCAGTTTCTGTTAACTATTTCAAGACGCCCAGCTGAAAGTAGGCGACAAAGGCGCCCAGTTTGAGGACATGCCAGTTGGGCCGGCGAACGGCCGGTTCGAACCAGAGTGCTGGTGGAGGTACTCACATAGCACGGTGAGGGTGGCGTTGGCCCTGATGGCGGCGATGCGGCCCTTGGGCCCCACCTGGCACTGGAACTCGGCGTCGTCCTCCAGGGAGGCGTTGGAGATGCGCAGGTTGTAGACGCCGCGGGAGGCGTCGCCCAGCATGGCGTAGCGGGGGAAGCCGGGGATCACCGACGCGTACCCTGCGGCAGACAGAGACAGACGACCAGGTCAGCGGCGGCTACCCTTCTCGTGCTTGAGGCGGCGGCGCTGTGGCTGGCGGAGGGTAGCAATGTCGAGTATAAAGGAAAGCATTTTGAGTCGGCCAGACTTGGCGAGTCTTGGCGGGCCGCAAAGCATTGCGAAGCATTGCAAAGCCGCCTGCTGCCGACGCCAACAAAGGCTAAAGGGTGGCAGGCAGTGCCAGGGCAGCAGCCCGGCCAGCCCGGCCAGGCCGACAGCATTAGCGGCCGAACCTCCCCTCCCACAGGCTTTGTAAGAACCTGCCCACCTCGGATGAACTGCGCGCCGCGCAGAAAGGAAAGAGGGCGACAGTGGCTCCCTCTCCACTCGGCGGCCGGACTGCCGGGCCACGACGCGCTAAGTGGGAATCCACCTGTCACTTCCACCGCGATGACAAAGGAAGCCAAACATTCATCCCCCGGCCGCGGCCGCGCCCGCCGAACGGATCCGTCTCTCTCGCACTCACGGGGCGGCGGCCCGTCGAGGCCTCGGCCGGACCATCCGTCTCGCCTGTCGACGCCGCCTCATCCTAAAGAGGCCGAGTGATTGCAGAAGGCCGGCAAGGCAAGCCAGGCCGCCTCGATCCATCCTGGATCCATCCCGGGTCCTTCCTGGAGGCCGTCGAGGCCGTCGACTCCACGCGCGGGCCTCCGCGTCCACACTGTACATTAATCAATTTGCCGCCCGGATTCATCCACTGTAGCGCCCGTTTTTGAAGCGGCTTGTTTTTCTCCGTGTTTTTCGTTTTTTACGGTGTGGGCGGGAGGGGGAAGCGAGACGATGGGGCAATCAGTAATCAGCAGCGAGGCTTGCAATGCTGATCACGGCCATAAAAGGTTTAATAAATGATACAAACACGAGGCGGCGCGCGCGACAGCCAATCAGAGCGAAGCGTTCGTTTGGTTCGCGATCGGGCGGCTGCACCGGAATGCATCTGTGTGTGTGTGTGTGTGTGGATCCAGCTTCCCCCACCCCCTTCCACTGCCGTCTCGCCTTGCAGCCCTCTCCCTGGGCATCCGCGCGGTGTGGCAAGCGCCTGCGGTCGGCTGGGTAGGCAACCCAGCACGCATCTGCGTTGCGCGGGCTCTGGCCGCTCCGTCACCATTACCATTAAAGGCTAGGGAGATCAGAAAGAGAGTGGGAGGGGGCGGAGAAAGAGAGCGAGAGAGACAGAGAGTCGTCAAGTGGCGGCGCAACTGCGGCGGCACTTAGGCGCACATTTATTCACACTAGCAGCAGCTAGCAGCGTGTCTGGGCCCGCCGTGGCACCGCCGCTGGAACGAATTAAGGGGTCAACCAACCAAACCCCCTCCCCTCCCCCCTCCAGTATCACTTTTATGCGGCACACCCTGTACTCCCCGCGCGGGGCCCGTCCGCCCACCACCGCGACTTTATTCACTTTTTTTATTACAACTTGCGCCAAAGAGCTATTAACAAAAAAGTTAAAGTCGTCCCCCGAGTGCTCTTATTAAGATTTGGCGAAAGGAGACGGCCGTTTGGACGAGTCGACGAGTGGCGAGTCCGCAAACAGCCAATAAGGGCGCACGGCGACTTTGGAGGCGCCCAGGCAGGTTAGTACACTCGTTACCGATGTCCTGGCCTCTTACCGCTGGAGCTGGGTGTAACAAGTTTGTCCCGAGGAAAAAACAGAAAGAAAAAATGGGTGCAGTAGCATCAGGGGGAAATGATTGTCACCTTGAGATACAGTTTTAAAAATGGAGGTAAAATTATTGTAAGCTTCAGGAACAGTTTTAAAATTTAAGGGTGCATTATTGTAAGCTTGAGGATCGGTTATAAACACGTTCCGAAGCGGCACACACATGTCCCCAGGTCTCTGAGTTTAAACAGTCTGTGCCCTGTGGATTGTCCTTTCAAGATCACTGGCTCACTCGAGGGTGTACACTGTACAGTGCTGGCAAGCCGGTCGGCCGGTGGGAATACCACTCCGATATCCAAAGCGAGTGGACGGACAACCTCTGCGAGTCCTCCAGACGCACCACTGGGGGTCTCTGGGGCCCCCCGACGCCCGCGCAGCACACCCCGTGTGTACACGACACCGTAACCTTGGCCCACCCTTCGCAAATACGAAATGGGCCGCTCAAGTCGGACAGCGTGATTTCCCCCTCTGTGTTTCGCGGACTTCCAAGAATCGCTCTCAGTGCGACAGAGACAGGACGACGGACCTGCACTGTATTCATCCCGGTGAATTAGCAAGGGCGGTCTTTTCAATAAACGCACTGCGAGCGGGATTTAGGAGCCATCTCAGGGCAGTCTCGGCGCGGCACTGCGCGCTGGAGTGGAGTCGTAGCGGAGAGCCTAATCCGAAGCCGCGCGACATCGCAAACCCAACCCGGACAGACAGACAGACAGACAGACAGACAGACAGACAGACAGACAGGCCGCCGCTGTAACTGCGGAACGAGCGCCGAAAGTGCGCCCTCCCCAAATGACCGGTGAAAGAGGCAACAGCGTCGCCAAAATTACCGGCACTGCGAATTCCGAGGGAGAGATCCGCGGCAGGGACTCGACGCACAGTAAGACCGCCGGAGGTGGCCAAAACTCTAGACGCGCTTTGAGCTCTAGAGTCGCTAAATGGGACTCGAACCGAACGTGTGACCCCACCTCGTTCGGAGAGCAATCCATTGGTGGGGTCACACGCTCAGTGCGAGTGCAAAACGCGTCTGGAATTTTGGCTACCTCCACCGGTCTTCTGGCCCACTGTGGGGGCAAGACTCACCGAGCGCGAAGCCGTCCTTGGTCCACTGCACGGAGCCCTGCTGGTGGTCCACCTCGCAGGGCAGCCGCGCCTCCCGGCCCTCCACGACCCTCGTGTTGTAGGGCGTCACCCGGAAGGACTGCTGGCGCTGTGCCGCCGCTGCAACAGAAAACAAGGCGTTAGTCAAGGCTGCGGGTTCGACTCCCAGTCGAGTCCATCTATTTATTCATATTTTTTTTTCAGTTGGGCAGGCACGCACTAATTGCTGTGGCTTGCACGACCGCGTGAACGCGAAACCGAGAGCGCTCGTCACAGAAACTAAAAAGGTTGCATGCAGTGTGTTGGCGCTCCCTCCTCTTTTTTCCATGAAAGGTAAAGGCTCTCTGGTAAAACCCAATCCGAACGCATGCGGTGGTTTCCACGAACCCATCGCGAGAGCATTCCTGATCCGCGAAGCTGCTTTTCTGGACGTCCAGGAAGCTTTCTCTCTCTCTGTCTCTCTCGCAGCGGGCGCCGTGCGCGATCCCGGTACGTCCGGAGGGCTTCCGGTACGCCACGCCGTGCACGCCCCCCACCATTTGGCCGTCCAAACACTCGTTAGCGCGTTCGGGTCGCTCCGTCTCTGTCGCACTCGCGGCGCGGTGGCGGCGGCCGCGGCGGTGCGAGAGAGACGGAGTCGTTTTCAGCCCCTCGGCTAAAGAGCCGCCGGGCCCACTCCAGAGTAACGAGCACGGCAGCGCACCCGTGTATGAGAATGTTGTCGGCGCACTTTGTCAAGGGCGTGCCGCGCCGTGCCGAGCCGCACCCCCAATGCAGTCTGCAGTGCTGCAGCTCTACACAACGAGAACACCGCCCGCCCCGCCCCGCCCACACTGTAAATGAAGACAGGGTAAAGCCTGGGAAGAAGCTCCGAAATGACCAAAGCAGTTCGACAACCTCTCCATCTCTTTTTTCCAGTTTGTAAAGCCGATTTTTCGGACAGGTTTTTTAACAGTGCGCTTTGCTCTTTCCGTAGGTCCGGGTGACACTGGGAACCGGATCCGGGGACACCATGAACACACCGCCCCTTCCGCGCCATGCACACGGGTACCGACTGCACCGAGCAAGGAGCAAGGCCGAGGGAACGGGAACCCGGAGAGCTTGTTTTGCAAGAGCACACCCCTCCCTGCCTCAGCCCCTTCTCTCTCTCTCTCTCTCTCTCTCTCTCTCTCTCTCTCTCTCTCTCTCTCTCTCTCTCTCTCTCTCTCTCTCTCTCTCTCTCTCTCTCCTCTGTTCCTCCTCCAGATCGTGAAAACAAACCAGAGTGAATTTAAATGAACAGCCCGCCGCCTGGGAGCAGAGTAGACCCGCCTCGGCGCACCAGCCCAGGCACCAGCCCAACCCTCATAAGGACACTGGCAGGGTTATGGCCGAAAACCTCCCTCACACACACACACACGCGCGGCGAGAGCCGGGAGACACGAACTCACACACACACTGGCGACAGACACACAGAAGAACATTTGAGAGAAGCAGACCGACGACTTTTTCTCGATTTCGTCATGTCAATGTTATCGGGGCAATCGCCCCCGACGACGATGGAGAGGAAGGAGGTTCCAGATGAAATTATTTGAGAAGCGGAAGTGGATCGGGGTGGGGGCGGGGGGAGTGAGAGTAGGGTGTGGAAAGGAAGCGAAGAGAGAGAGAGAGAGAGAGAGAGAGAGGGCAAAGGATCATGGGGCGTGAAACGCGCACTGAAACGCTGCCGAGCTAACTGCCACTGAGATGGATACCGGGGACAGTTGCGCGGGGGGGGGGGGGGGTAAACGTCAAGAAGCAAATCCCGGTGCGGAGAAGGGGCGCGCGCGGTTCTGACACGTGTTGTAATCCAGGCGGGCTGATTCCGAGCCGCTGGTCTGCCTGTCTCTCTCGCACTCACGGGTCGACCCCTATCGGTGCGAGAGAGAGGGACAGAGCGACGCGACCTCGGCATCAGCCTCCATGCGCGGCGTGGACGGCCTCGGGTCCTGCCTGACACACTCGCGGAGGAGGAGGGGGGCTCGCTTTACTATTAGCACACGGATACATCGGAAAAGGAAGATTGCGCCGCCGACGTCAGCAAATACAGTCCCGGGCAGGCAGGCAGGCAGCCCGAGCTGGCAGCCCGCCTCATCTTGAGGGCTTCGCTAGCCTCGCTGCGAGGCGCAGCGCGCAGCCTGATGAAGGCGCGGGGAGATTTAGCGCGCAATGGAGTGCCGTGGCCGTGGCCTGCCAGTGGCGTGGCCTGCCAGTGGCGTGGCGTGGATCCATCCCAGCCCAGCCGGGATGGGATGTGGGCGAGTTAAGGCAGGATGACGACGATCCCCTTGCTGCCTTCCACACGCGCAGCGCCACGCAGCGCTCTGCCGGTCGGACTCGGGGGACGTATCCGCCCCACAGTGGAGGCAGCCAAGGCAGCCGCGCCAAGGCCTCGCCGTCACTCAGCCCCGCCCCGCCGCTCGGCTTAAACCCTCCCCCCCCCTCCATTTTAAAAATAAGGGCCTTCGCTTGGTGAACGAGCGAAATTCCAGTGTGGATGACGAGCGTCTGGCGGTGAGGCCGAGAGCGCCCGCGTGCCGCGGGGTAGGCAACCCGAGCGCCAGCCCTGCGCGCCGGCACAGGCCGCCTCGCCGGCGGCGGCCTACTTCGCCGATTCGCAAGTTCGATTCCCGCCGCCGCCGCCACCGGGTCGCGAATCGATTTTGAATTTTTTTTTTCGTGCCGCCGAGATGAAAACACTTTGGAGATGCGGCGGAGCGACGCCGCAAGTTCGGCACCGCTCTCTCTCTCTCTCTCTCTCTCTCTCTCTCTCTCTCTCTCTCTCTCTCTCTCTCTCTCTCTCTCTCTCGGACCGGAAGTGTGATAAATGGAAGGCGGCGTGTATACACAAGTTGGGCGGAAGGGACCATAAACAAAGACAAGTGACTGCAGCGGATAACGTCCGGATAGTTTTATGATAAAACTTGGCCCGATCTCCAAGTAAAAATAGAATTGGTCCGGACGGAAAAACAACAGGGACCGGCCTAATTGCCGGGGCCCTACACTGGAAGCCGAAGTCCCCCTTTTTTCTTGCGCAGTGTCCCTCCGGCCCCCGGCCCGTCCGTCTATTCGTATTTCGCCCTGTTGGTGACTTTATTTGTTTTTCGCGCGGCCGCCGAAAAGTTTACGGTAGTTGTGCAAGTGTAACGGGCCACGGTGTTCCCAAACAGCTTCCAGCTTTGCCTCGGCTTTGCTGGTGCCCCTCGCGGTGCCCCGCCCCATCCACTTCCTTATTTTTCCTCTCTCTTTATTTCTGAAAGACGACTTGACGAATTCTTCCGTCACAGCGGCCGCTCCCTAACCCCGCAAGTGAGCTCGGCTCCGAAAAACTTTCCCGCTCGCAAACACAATTCCGGATGTACTAATTCAGAGTTATCAATTTCTCCCCTCGTCCTCGCGCGGTCACGCCCCGGCCTCGCCCGCGCCGCGCCGGCCGACCCAAATCTTGAGTTTAAAAAAATAATTCCGGCGGGCGGGCTGCGCTGGCAGCGTGCGTGGCAGAAACGCCTCTCCCGCAGCGCTCATTAGCATAGTGGCGACGTAATTAGGAAGGGGGGGGGCTGCCCATCCATACAGCACAGGAAGGGGAACAGAGGCGGTGGACTCGATGCGGAGCGGTGTCTGTCTCTCTCGCACCGCCACGGCACGCACCGCGAGTGCGAGAGAGACAGAGCGTCCTTGGCGGCCGTGTCTGCGCCGACGGCGTCCTCCCCAGTTGGCACCTGATGCACCTCCCTTCATTACCACGGCGATCGGAGTGGCAGGGCAGGATGCTGGCGGGGACCTGGGACTCCAACCGCGTCTCTCGGCGAGGTCGTTTTTCCGGGTGCAGTTCCGGTTGTTGTAAGTGCCTCGCGGACCGTGACCGCATGAATTTTCTATTTTCTCCCAGGGCGCGGGGGAGGGGGGGGGGCAGAGCGACCCGGACACGCTGCTGCTGCAGTCTGCGGCACTAGAAGTGCGTCGCGAGGCTGCGTCGCTGCGTCGTCGCGGACCTGGTAATGGGGCAAACACCGCGCCTGCCTGCCTTGCCTCTCCACGCGACGCGCCCCTCTCCCGGGACCCCCCCCCCCCCCCCCCCCCGCCCTCCAGCACGCTGCGCCGACGGCACCACGGCCTGCGGCAGGGAGGTGAAGGAGGCCGCGAGGGTGGATAAGTGTATGCAGTCAGTCAGCGAGTGTGGAGTACACACACACACACACACACAGCGCCGAGTGGCTGGGGCGGCGGGAGGCACGGCGAGACGAACACAACACACACACACACACACAGAGGCAATTACCCCCGCGGTGCCATTGCCCGCGGCGTCGCGGCGTCGACTCGGATCCGTTTTAAAAGAAGCGCCCGCCAGACAATACGAGACAGAGCGATTCCCGCGGCGCCCCCCCCCCCCTTTTCGTTTCAGAACCGCCGCGCTGGCCTGACATCTTGGGCGCTAGCGCTAGCTGCAGCACCGCAGGGTCCGGGGCCGGGCGCCGCCACTTGAAGCGCTCCGAGCAGTACAAGCCCTACAAGCCGCGGCGGCGGCGGCCCTTGCGGTGCAGGCGCTGGCTGCCTGGCTGGCGGTCGGCGCTGCTGGGAAAATGTGTTTATTGTTGGGGGCTTGCATTGTTAGCCCGCAACAATGGGTCCCATACCGCCGAGTGGAGGCTAGCCGGCCGGGCAGTGCCACAACGGCCCACCGCCGGCCGGGTGCAGTACGGGCCGCCGAACGCGCTCTCTCTCTCTCTCTCTCTCTCTCTCTCTCTCTCTCTCTCTCTCTCTCTCTCTCTCTCTCTCTCTCTCTCTCTCTCTCTCTCTCTCGCCGCCGCGGCCCCGTGCGAGAGAGACGGAGAGCACCTTAATGAGTGCGGCCCCACCGCGTTCCCACCATCAGTATGCGCCGCCAATCAGAACAACGCCGCCGTCTGCAGCCTTACAGTGTAGCAGTGTACAGTGCAGGCTGCAATTACCACAAATCATCTCACAGTGCGGGCCCGCGCCTTGCCGCCTTGTTTCGTGTTTACTTTCGGACAGATTTTACTTGGAATCGGGGTTCGCTCTTCGGTCTTTTCGAGGGGGCTTCCTTTAGAAGTTACGCCCCGTCGACGCACACGCCTTGC